CGGTGACCGATAGACCCGAAACTAGTAAACAGCTTTTCGAAGTAGCCCTGCAGGCACATTTTTGATATCGCTGTCGCTCATGCTATGCATGAATAGATTCGTCACTTGGAAAAGTTTTTGCAATAGGTAGACCCGCGCCACAATGCCAAGTTCGATGAGCAATATTTTTGCTACTACATTGTTTAATTGTTTTCAGTTTGGTGACCGGATGTTTTGAACTAAAAAACTTTATCGCGTCACTAGCTGTAACAGATCGAAAACAATTGATGGTAGATAATATTTAGGACGTCACAACGACTACCTACTCCCTTATTCTTATGGAGAAGTGAAGAACACCCTGACATCAAAACTTTCGCCTTTATAATATTAGTATGATATTGATTGGTATTTCCCCTAGTCGTTTTTTAAACATTTTTACTGATAGCGGATGGTAGGAGGGTTCATTTCGTTTTCGTGCGCTTCGCGGATTCCCTAGCAAGAGCTGAAAATCAGTGTTCTGCCCTTTTCAGGGCAGTGTTTACATTGAGTTCTTTGCTTTTTGCATCGCTGCGACACACATCATGCAGGAAGTATTCTTCCACTTGTTACTGCTTTTGTTTGTTTTATGCATGCTTATACAGGGTGGAAACGATAAGTGATCTCACTCGATTATTTCTAAACTACATAAGATATCGAAAAACTGGTAACTGATCTTGAAAGTGCTTCACGAGCTCTTTCTAACGGTATCAGTAATAGGTTACAGAATTAACTGGATCTATTCGAAAATTCGATGTTTTCAGCCTCCATACTAAATGTATGCCAGTCACACAATATTAAAAGTGTTGATTTTTTTTATTAAATAATAAACACTTAAAATGAACTCGTAAATTGCATTCTTATTTAAAATTATTCATGGAAAACATTGGTTCTAGGCTTTACTTGTTATAATATTATCAAGACATGAGAGCCATGACTGTGGCAGTACTAAATGTATGGAAGTCGGAAACATTGAATTTTCAGATAGATGCAGTTTATTTTGTAACTTATTATTGGTACCGTTGAATAGAGCTCATGAAGCACTTTTAGGATCAGTAACCAGTTTTTGGATAGTTTGTATAGTTTTTAATATTAAGTGGTTTTATTAAATGTATGGAAGCTGGAAACATTGAATTTTCAGATAGATCCCGTTTATTTTGTAACCTATTATTGGTACCGTTGGATAGAGCTCGTTAAGCACTTTCAGGATCAGTAACCAGTTTTTCGATATCTTGCATAGTTTAGAAATAATCGAGTGAGATCACTTATCGTTTCCACCCTGTATAACTAGTATTCTACTGTATTCTATTCTTTTCTTATTATTGTTATGCTGCAACTTTACTCTTTATGTGTGTTAAGTGTATGCAAATAAATGATTTATCTATCTATCTATCTATTCCTCATCAAGAATTCTGACTACATAAAGGGAATGCAGTACCAAAAATCACTCAAGTCATAAATTAAATTTTACCTGAATGTTGTAGAACATCTACTGAAGCTCTTATTCCAGACATAATCTGACGGGGATTTCTCTTACGAATGCCATGTTTACTTCAGTTAAAATAACCTCAACGTATGTGTGTTGGCATAATATGATTGGGTTTTGTTTGCCCGAGATAAGCCTGTCTCTTGAATGGAGGATTAGCTATAAAAGATTACGATGTTGTACAAGTTTTTCTATTTCGGGGCGAAATATTAGTTTAGGGCTTATTTAGATTATGTGTGTATTTTGGCTTTTCAGAACGTAATTTCGTCTTACACATATTGTTTAATAGTATTCTGTGTGTGTTTTTATACGTAAACTTTGTGACACAGTGTTTAGAAAAACCCCGATTAAAGATAATCTTGTAAAGTGATCTATTTTCAGCACAAAAAAGTAAACTATAATATTTTTGCTCAGCGAGAAAAAGGTCGTAACTGGATTTGACTTAAGTCCCTTCCATCTTAAGCAGTTTAATATGTTAATAAATAATTTCCTTGAAGGATACCGATCATTTTCAAGTTATGGCCGCTTTTATCAGGATTTACACGTCCGCCCGTTACTCAAGTAAAGAGTGTCCGTAGACAGTTAGCGGTGAGCAAGCTCAATTAGAACCACTAAACGACGTCCCGTTCCATAACTGTTACAAGATGACTAACAAACTGGCGATGCATCTGTGCATACATTAGATTACTTAAGACAAAGTTAAAACAAAGTTTTACCATCCTTGTTAAAACGTACTATGTGTAGTCATACCTACCTACAATGCATCATCACCGATTCGTCAGTAATTTGACAACAAAAAGACCAACACAATAGGCATGACCAATCAAGTGACTGAATTTTTACAATCTGACAAAACATCATGACATCTTCATTTGTATTTTCTTTTAAATTAAGTACATAGTATTAATTTCAAGAGCTTGATTTTCTTAATTTTATTTTTTACTCACCTCAGGAAATCGTCAACATCTCATTCAGAATTGGACTTTCCACAAGTTCTACATGCTCTACAAAAATAAATCATACAAACATCTTGAGACTTGGGTTGAGAGTGACATGGAAACCTCTTTTGGTACATCTACATATTCTTCATCTGGAATCATTGAGCTAAGGTTTTACAATCCCATATGCCGTCACAAGCAAAACGAAAACACAATTTTCAGTAGCACTTACACGAGGCAATTCCAAAACTTCCAAATGGGAATGTATTAACCAATCATTGAGGTTACACTGCAGCGTAAGCATCGGCTCCTTTAATGGTGTTCTCAGATAGAAACGCTTAAATCTCTTAAGGGCAAATGACCCTTTAAGGAAAACGTCTTCATCGATTGGGAAGGGACGAGCCGCGGGTGAATGGAAACAATACAAAGTGACGATCATCTACATTTCAAGCGGCTGTAAATTATTTTGGCACCAGTCTACTGTAAATAATGAAGGGAAATGAAATGGAAAAGGCAAACGGATAGAAGAACAAAAAGGAATAAGTTTTTATAAAGATTTTTATCTATAAGAAACGTAATAAAACCTCCATGGGTTATAATAATGGCTTGAGAGTTGAATCCTCTCGATACAGAGATTTTTCTAGCTTCGATTCGAAGCACGGATATAAAAACACCAAAAATATATTTTTTCTCATTAAGTAACCAGAATGTCCGAATAATATTTATGCTAAACTGATAAATTTTAGGAATATCAGACGCCTAGGCGCCTATTTAATAATAACAAACAACATCACGACCGAAAACTGTATTCAATGAACATTTAAAAGATCTTACGTGTGTTGATACTGTTTATATCGTTTCGTAATACGTACAACAAGGTTCCTCCTATTGTTAGAGGCTCATAAAGTACATAACAATCGGGTATCGATTGTTCGGTACCGAGAAACGACGCCGTGGGTGTTTAGATGTTTATTCGCAAGATCTTCAAGACAGCGCAAGCGCCTACGCATCGAAGTACAGTTAGGTGCATTAAAAATATTATTTGCATATCTATTACGCTGAATTGTTGTGTAATACACGTAATATTTCATAATATTTTATGTAAATACTAAAGTGTTCAAGTTCGGTAACTTACTCATACATACTATGTAAAGTCATAAGCAAATTTTCAGTAACTGCTTTGCCGACTAGGCTTCGTTATCGTTACACACTTAAAATTAACATCGTGATTGTACAATTTATACATATTTCTGCACCCGACTATACCGCTACTAGTGTCAGGCTGAATAAAACATTGCGTGGGCCGCGGTTCCTCCCTGCCGTTGTTGATGTTCATTAAACTATAAACTATCTTTTATACTAGGATGTATCTGTACAAAACGATGAACGTTTAGATAGTACAGGTTTCCTATCTTTGGTTCTGGAATAACTTTTCAATTTCATATCTAAGATGAACATTTTAGTTGTAAATTTTCCCTTCCAGGAAGAAAATTGGAAATGCATACAGTAACTCTACACTTCTTTCCATAATCAGAACACACATCTTATAGATGGTTGCTCACAGTTAATAGGACACCATCGCATTAGATGACATAATATTGTTCGAAAATTAGCAACAAATCTTCGTGTAGCTCAAATTATGTACCACACGCGCTGATTTTGCTACGAATGTTATAATTTGCGGCCACAATATGCCATTTCGTGTGTACTAAACACACCTTACGCACCTGATCACGAATTCAAACCCACATATGAGGCCCAATTCTGCAAATCGATCTTAGTTTCTCATTCCGTCCCTCTCGCTCATGAAGATGTCTTTACATGTGATAGTGATAGCAAGAGTCGAAACTACAGACACCGTTTTTCGGAATTGAACCCTGTATTTAGGTGTAATTGGCCAAGGGCCTCATCGTAATGGGTCTCAGGGACCGTTACACGCCCATGCAACCTCCGTAATGAGAGAGCCGGTACTTAAAGTAAACACCTCTAAACTGTACAGCCCTTTGACGATCCCACTAAATGTGAGGTGCTTAATGAAACACTACACTCAGCAACCGTACCAAATATAATATAAATATGTCTGGAGATCCAGGAGTTCGGCGAAAAAGAAGACAAAGAAGATTCAAAGAATTTCTGGACAAAACAATAAGAAGAATAGAGTTTCCCAACAAACATGCCCAAGCGAGAAAATTCCACAAAAAATATTCCAGAGTAAATCTAATATTTTTATCAAAAAACATTTGTTTGCTGAAGGTGTTTTAAATGCGGTAGTTGGAAGAATCAGTGCTATTTGACAATCTTTATACGTTCACAATAGATGTTTTAGACATTATTTGCAAAGTATATCCTAACTCAGGATTTTCTCAGATCATAAGACTTGCCTGTGATTAGCACGCATACTCTAATTCGTTCGTTAACACCTTGTCATATGATGGAAATACACAGAAAACACTTATGTACACGGTGACACTGAGTGTTATTATTATGGTATGTATTTGACAATAATAAAATCATATGACTCGAGATTTCCGTCTTTTTCTTACTTAAAAATGAATACTTACATAATCTACCGAAGCTAAGGGACAGGCGCTTTCTAAGCTTTTGCATTTTGCTCATTGCGCCGCCCCTTTTTTCTCTCATTGTCACGCCTGTGAACAAAAATAAAGCAATGTTAAAATAAGTCACAAATACAAAGCTCAATTGAGGACATTTTTGAATGAAACAATTACGAAGATATAGGTACATACGTTGTTTGTCAAATTGTATGGAAAGTAACTGTGATTTAAGAAGTAGGAAAATAAAGCAAGAATTTCTTCACAATGCAGCTCAAGACTTGTAACAGTAAAAGTGGCAGCGAACATTAATCTAGAACGGCAAAAACAGCGCGGAAGAACACACGCACACTTCCACCTTGTATTTACCAGCTCAGCTAATGCTCAGCAATCATTACACTCCCATTAACATACGAAATAACAATTAACAAACTCGCATCACAACACACGGAGGAGTTGCTCCGAGTTGCTAACGCGAATGCGTTAGATCCAAAGCACACGATCCGTTGCGCCGCCGCAAAGAAAAGATTTCGCCGTATCGCGCGGCGTGTCCCCGCCACAGATATTTCTAATGTAAGACGACCTAGACGCAGCGGCACCGCTCCGGCGTCGCTCTGCCGCCGCAGCGCGTGTGCTTTGGCTCTTACAGAGTTCTTAATTAATTGCCGGGAGTTATAAGCTGCAGTCACGCTACCACCCACCCCCTTTCCGATCGAATATTACACTCAGCTTAACAGGTGATCGCGTGCTTGCGAATATTATACTTCTTTAATTTAATTAAACTTGATAAATGGCATTTAGTCTATCTACAGTGCATTTGGTGTTAGGTAGGTACGAAAATTCTTCGATGCGCGACGATTATAGGATTAGAATTTTCACAACACAAAACGACTGAAGTCATAACAACCCTCGAGTCAAGAGTGACAAGTCCGTTATGGCTTAATCAGACTGGACGCGATGAAGCTTTAGCGGGTCCCTCAAATCACGTCAATTACATTTCTCCCAGACAATCAGATTAATTCAAGCCTACAATGCAAGGAAACTGGGGAAGAGAGAAAGGTAGCGCTCGAAAATTCTATGACAAACTGAACAATTACCTTTTACATTTGACAATTTTGGCTATCTATAAGTAAAAAGAAATGAAAAGAATAAAATTACCCGTTTCAAGCAAATAACATACAAACGAATATTTATAAGTATCTCATGCTATTATTAGTACAGATGACGCAACCAAAAGCAGAAATATACGGGTAGAATTTCAGGAATGTTCGTCTCAAAACGGAGTGATAAAGATAAATCGTCGAATATTTATAGCCGAGACTCCCAACTTATTTTCTACTACAGACCACGTTGTAAACGCCACAGAAATAAAGTGTAAAATCCTTGAAGTGAAGAAGACTTGTCCGTTTGCCAAACATTTTTCAAGGGTTAGTAAGAACGACCACGAAATTTAATATGTGGTCGTTAATGGCCAAACGGTAGTAACTTCGGCCAAGCCAAGCCAAATCGCAGAATGTAAACACGGTAACGATCGAAGGAAGCATTTGGGGAATTTATCGGATGCCTGCGGAATCACGGCTTGCCAATATTCCAAAGAAACATGTGTTGTGCCAACTGCCAACTTCATCAACATAGAATGTCAAAATTTCAACAGGATTTTCACGTTCGATTAAGTAAAGCATACATTTTTAATTTTCACTTTAGCCGTAATATTTGAGGGGAGAGTTTTACAATGGAATTGACGCAAACTGAAACTATTTTTCCCTCCATTGAATTTTGACAAATCCCTAGCTACTTTACGTATGTACCATTCTACCATTATTTATTGATGAGTAGTACACAGCACAATAATCATTTGATTTATAGAAGCTACAAAGCTTCTAGGCTCATTGTGGCCATTAAAATATTTCGCCTTATCTATTTCTGCCACGAGTACCGCGGGGATCGCGGGAACTTTATACGTTCAATGCTCTGCATTCGAAGACGTTGTGACCATTACAGAGCGGAATCAAACTTAGTAGATGTCACAAATGGCCCGTAATCCGGCGCAGTTTCTGGGTTTAATAGGGTTTACATCGACGACATTTTATCTTCGATTGCGCGGATGCTCGTTGATGCGTTGCCAAACATATGAGCGGCGCCAACTGGACGAGGATGAATGAGTTCATTACACCCTTTTTGCTTGCATTCTTTCATTATTAATTACTAGCTTTCCGCCCGCGGCTTCGCCCGCGTGGAATTTTGTCTGTCACAGAAAAACTTTATCGCGCGCGTCCCTGTTTCAAAAACCGGGATAAAAACTATCCTATGTTCTTTCCCGGGACTCAAACTATCTCTATGCCAAATTTCATCAAAATCGGTTGCGAGGTTTAAGCGGGAAAGCGTAACAGACAGACAGACAGACAGACAGAGTTACTTTCGCATTTATAATATTAGTTGGGATTGTATTATGTTTATAAGCCCTTCAAATGTTTAAAACTTTTTAAGATATTTATTTTCGATGACTATAGAAGTGTAGGTACAGCGCCAAAAAACTTCAGACAATTCGCATAGACGATGTTAATATAAACTTCCCAGTAGAAACCCAGTCTGCGTAGAATTGCCTGCATTGACCTAGAAACCATTTTATGAGTTCTAGCACATTGCACTCAAATGAAATCGATGTATTTTATTGACTCGGCAAATGGAAAATTTTATAGATGAACCAGTATCTTGGCTTCATAGAAGTAAGTAATAGTTTCTGAAGCTCGCTAAGAGGATTTTAAATGTCAATTTCTTATGAAATACTCGTAATTAAATATAGTAGAAATAGTGGTACTTTCTCGTTAATAACTTCCCAGAATATTAAATTTACAAGAAACGTCTACGTTTTATTAGAGAAAACTTCCAACGGTAAATATCTAGTACATCTAAAGTAATAACATGTATCTAGAGTATCGTATTGGAAACGCGCGAGTTCACATGCACCATCGAACATTATACAAACACGCCATGTTTATACACGAGAACTAAAAACATCACCTCTTCCAAAAATTTCATATGGGTTCAATAATTGAATCTATCTTGCAGTACCTAGTCACCAGGTTGTACGGTTCAAATTCGAACGAACTCCCAAATTGGTTGGTGGAAGTTCAATCAACAGCCCTAGGCTGTTCAAACATGACCACCATGGACAAACATTCGCACTGACATCGCTATCTAATCTGGAAAGCGACAGGGACAATATGCTACGGCCTACGTCTAACGTAATATTTAGATTGATGACTAGCCTCGCTGTTACCATAGACAGTGTACACATAACTGTAGTAACAGAAATTAACACTGATAAAACCGTAATCAGCGTTCTTTACATTCGTAATGAATTACTCAATACTTTTGCAACGAGATAACAGTAAAATCTTTTGAAATCCTTCATTTTATGACTCGAGCATCACGTGTGGAAGATCCTTTTGAAGATAATTTCCATTCAGTTAACGGGAACGTTTCAGCTGCCAATTCAAGGCCATTACACATTATTAACGATGTAAAAGCTAATAATATAACGAGCGGAGTTCCTTTATGAATGGATTTACGATGCATAAATTTACCGCAGTGCAAGTACGGTTTAGTATTCCAAACATCCTGGCAATGCGGAGAGCGGGAGAGGGAGTTAAATCCTCACGTTACGAAACACGTCAAGAGCCGTCAGAGTTATTCGAACATGTCAGCCGTCGGCATACATTGGGGGATTCCGCAAAAGATGACGTGTGGGCCAAATATCACCCGCTCCGTCAGTGACGCGAAATATTGGCAATGCTGTTGCTCGCGTAACAATATCAATAGTCGACGTATTTACATAGGACGCTCGTAAAGTTCCTGTTTGGATCGTAAATAGAATTTATGCTCTCCAAAGAAATCGTACATGTCACGGACTCACGAAATCTCAAGTTATGGTATGATATTCAGACGATCTTCTGCAGTCCGATAAAATAGCTTTTGTTTTGGCCAAAAAAGACACCTTAGCAAAGCCATAAATTTTAGAAAAGCGTTACTTTTTCACACTTATTTCCAGCCATATGTCACTCCGTCTGCCGTTAGGTGTCAAATTTTCATTGGTGTAACACGCAGGAAGCTCTACCCTTTCAATCGGCGACACGAGAACCCCGCCATTACCTCTATCACCATCTCTCTAATTGTACCTATTAATGACGTCACTATTACGTACTTTCGCTCGACGCCATTAGCTATCGAGCCCATACCATTACACATTTGTAAAGGGTTCACTTAAGGGGTAAGGTAAGGTTAGACGATTAGCAGAATGAAATACCCAATGAATTGCTCATTTTCGAACCGTGATTTTGTCGGTAGGTCGAACATTTCGATTACACGTAGTATCATTAAATTCATCTTTATTAATTCACAAATTATGTTATGATTATGCTACAAGTTTCCAGATGGTAATCGCGTTATTATATGCAAAGTCAATTTCGTTTAATCCAACATCCAAACAGGATCAACGTGAACGAAACAAACAATCGTTGGAAATTGGTTTTGGTGGAACAACCTATCAAGGGATATCACACGTGATTAAAGCTAAGATAATACGGTTTGAAAATAGAGTGGAGGGAACATAAATCAAAGTGGTAAATGGCGAATATAAAGCATGTAATAAAGAACTGTCATTTCCAATGAAACGTCAGGCGGTGTGAGGAAACAGGCGGCGATTCTGGAGTGCGCGGCAGTTCCGCGTGTTTGCGATGGACTTGTTGCGCCCACGCATCTTGAGATATATTTCAACTAAGCGCTTATCATTTTTCACGACAAACATATGATAGTCGGAAATCTATTGAGCGTAAAATTTAATAGTATGAAGCCTTTTATGAAGATAGAAGATAGAAACTCTTTGTTTTACAAAAACTTGAGTTCTTCTATAACATGATAGATCTAAAAGTGCACTGAAGAAATATGTTTATATCTATTCGGATTTATGTTTGTAAACAGACGCGTTGATTTAAAACTATAGGTACCAATCGTACGACAATAATTTCGGCATGTCTACAAAGAATGCTCTTTCGGCGCCTACGCATCGTGCATGATCATTTTTCTAAGTGACGTCT